ACCAATGGTGTTGGGCCAGGAGCGAGGCCCATTGGTCCTGGTTCGTCCCACCAACCGGGACCAATAGTTTCAGACGAACCAGGACCAATGGGCCACGTGGCCCGGCCGGCTCCCGGGGCTCACGAACCGGGTCCGATGCCCCCATTGGTCCCGGTTCTGGATTGAACCGGGACTAATGGGCTGGAGCGGCCTGGACCATTGGCCCCTTTTCTACTAGTGGGACAGATTTGCCGCGGAAGTACTCATCGGCGAGCGAGACGAGACGTGCGATCTCAGGACGCGCGAGACCGATGCCGGTGAGCCCGACGACGACGGGGGCCAGGGTTTTCTCGACTTTTGCGCAGAGGAACTTGGGGTCCTTGGTGACGAGGGCGGCGACGTCACAGGCGGAGCATGGTGTACTACTGGTGTGCGCAGCGGCGCCGGCGGCGAGGGAACGGCCGCGTTGGTGCGAGCGGAGCGGAGAGACTGAGTGCTGATGGTTTCCGTGATTGGACCTTGATGCTGACCAAATGACCCCACCCGTCAGCCTCTAAAAATGAGTCCACATCTAATAATGGGTTGGGCTGTGGAGCGACTGACTTGTCTACCACCAGCTTTCTGTTTTCCTATCTCTTTCTTTGTTTCATCTAAGGAAAAAGTTCATTTTAAACCTTAAACTTGTAGAGCTTAGCTAAATCGAACCCCCGAGTCTGAATCCCGGTCGTTGGCACCCTGAACTTATCAACCCCGGTCTAAATCAAACCCTGGAGCTGCTTTTCAGGTAAAAAAGTACAAAGTTGAAAAATGTTCAACGTATATTTAAGAGAAATTGACTAAGTATTGTAAAATGCTCATTATATATTCGTAAATATACATCAAAGTAGATACATGATGCTCATGTGTTTAAAAGGGAAATCTGATAATAAAATAGAGAAAAGGAAAAAGAAAAAAGAAAGAAAGAAAAATTAATAAGTAAATAAAATGCCTAATGAAATTGTAAATTAAAAAGAAACAAAAAGGATACAAACTGATAATATAAATTAATGAAACAGAAAATCAAAAGAGAAAAAAAGATCTAGACACTAGAACATTGCCGGAACGACATTTAAAAGAAGCTTAAGTTTGCTATGCAAGTGGGCACGAGTACAAAAAAATCAGTTACTGGGAGGCCCGCATGAGACTAGGGGTGGTTTTTAGTATTCATGAACATCTTTCAAACTTGTGAATATATTTTTTTAAATCATGAAATCTAATTCAAAATTCACAAATATTTTTTGATTTTGCAAACATGTTTCGAGTTTGTGGATATTTGTTCAACTTCACAAACAATCTTCAAGCTCATGAATTTTTTTAGAACACTTTTTAAATTTTCTAACATTTTTTGAGTTCGTGAACATTTTTCATTTTTTGAGTTCATTATCTCTTTCCAAATTCATGAACAGTTTTTAATATTCAAAACATTTTTAGAGTTCACGAATTTTTTTCAAATGCAAGAAACCTTTTCAATTTTGCGAACAATTTTTTAGTTCGCGAACATTTTTCCAACTTCCTAAGATTTTTCAAATTTGAGAATCTTTTTTATTTCCGAAAAAGATTCTAGTTACATGAGCGAGTTAAGAAAAAACAAGCACTAAACATGGCGGCGCCTAGTTACTTGCTCTTCCATCCGCCCGATCCAGATTCTCAAGTGCTTTTCGCCGGCACGAATGTGAATTTCACAGGTGCGATTTCGTTGCTTCGGGAACCAGGTACGATTGCTATTTGAATCTCGATAACCTCTAGAGAAAGGAAAGAACAGAACTGGTACATCATTACTGATAAAATTGTTTCGGCTGCCATTACAGAAAATAAAAATCAGACTTTGCCAATTAAGTCCAAGAGATCCAGAAACAACTTTCACCTACTATAGACAACTTGTTCACTTGGGTTGTAGGTCAGGAAGGAAGATTCAGAATACAAAACTTTCAGCTCCGATGTTGAACGTAGATCAAACATGCCTTCAGCAAGAGGAAGCATGAAGCTTAATGTGCAAACCAATCAAAGCTAGAGGAGCCAACAAAGACTTTAGATACAGTGATCTAAAAAGTCTTATATTAGTTTATAGAGGGAGTACATAGCAAACAACCTATCACCAGGAAGGAAGAAGAAAGCAGAATGCATCTACAATACATCCAGTTTCAGTGCATCCTCGCCATGTCCTGTTTTCTGCAAGGTTCAAATGCAAAAACATGCAAGAGCGTGGAAAACCGTTAAGCACGGTTACTGATTCCGGTTTAAACTCATGTATTTTGGTTCTTGGACGTTGCTCTAATAATTCAAACAATAACATTTTGAAGAACAAAATATCCAATAAACCGACTCGCTGAGAAATTAGAGCTTAATGGTTTCTTGCTGTACATTGGTGCACCGAAGGGGGTCAGTTTGTAGTAATTGAGTATCATCAATGTTTCCTCATACCAAATGATTTCGACAATTAAATCTGAAGTGATGGGTATCAGTATCTACAAACGACAGGCTCTTGGCCTGAGTCAAGTTTGATCTTGAAGCAGCTATCTAAAAACTAGATTGGTATTTTTTTGTATTTAAATGTACAAAAAGGAAAAGAAAAAGAAAAGGATACGTATGCATCAGCTCCATCCAGGATACATGTACCATTCCGGTGGAACTAATGGAGTATCATATCTACAAACTACAACCACACTCGACACGAATCAGGCGATCAACAAGGAAAATTCATATTCAAGTTACTAGCAGCTTCGACACCAGCAGCTGACTCTATGTGTAAACTAAAATCTGAGGGTACTTTTAGTAAAGAGCATGGGTAAAAGTGACATGCCACTTGTTAGTAATGATACCAAGAAGCAACAGGGCCACACTCTAATACAATCCTGATAAAGAAAGCAAAGTAATTCAAGCATGGACATCACCCATCTATGCTACACTCTGAAATAGAGCGAAACACAAGAGGCCTCTCCTAGCAATCACAACAATTGCAACTTACAAGGGGAACGGGTTTATCATTTCACTGGGCAGGACAAGTCAATGTACAGTTGGCCTCCAATATCATGATAGGTCAAACAAACTTGATGAAACATATAAACACTCAAGTGTATGATGCATTACTGCATGGACCACCACAAAATATCCATTTATCATTCCCAACAAGGCAACAAAATCTTGATGAAACCTAAGAAGAAAAATCACTGTAAAAACCTCAACAGGTTTGTGTCTTGCTGAAAATAACAAATAGTTCAACAGTTGAATAATAATGCACCTTTAACGTCCATCTCCAACAAAAGTAATTCTTACACCCAGGAGCCTTTCCATAACCCTGCATCGACAAGTAAAATAAGCAGAGCACTAACAACAGGGCAAAATGACATGTACTTCCTCCGTTCTAAAATAGATGACTCAACTTTGTACTTGTACTAAAGTTAGTACAAAGTTGAGTCATCTATTTTGGAACGGAGGGAGTAGCAAACACCTAATCTGGAGATAAGTGGACATATGAAAGGTTTAAGTACAGACAGCATGTAATGCTTACTTTGTTACAAAAAAAAAAACAGATCATGATAACTACAACTTATCTGCTTGACAACTAGAAGTTAAACTAATTCTAGCATGCTTTGGCAGTTACTTTGGAAGTTAAAGAAAGTACTGAAATTCTTTGTCTTTTCAGATCAAACATAGTTCAAAACCTTAATTTTCCCTTGCGAAAATCATACAGACACAGGTATCAAATTTTACTATCCATCACTGAACTTCAATGATATCTTTATCCAGATGAACACCCAAGATGGCAGAAATTAATTCAAGTACAGATTATGTTGCCAGTTGGAAGTAATGTGCCCCCAAAAGCTAGCAGATTATGTGCAGCTTTTCGTACAAAAAAGAATAGTAGGGGCAAGTAACTAAGAACCTGCAGTCTCTGCACAAATTCAGACCATGTATTCAGAGTATGGATGTACATGATACCAACTGTTTGGTGCGTATATTCACAATCACACCAACCAAAGCAATAAATTAATCACTCAGTTTTTGCTAAACTGAAGAAGAGCTAGCTCAGACATAGAAGGAAGAAACACTACCTAGCTGCTAGTGAACCTTCTGGTGGTGCTTGGCACAAAGAATTACCCACAGGACCAAAACACAATAATGAACTAAAATCTTAAGCTGCCATCCACAATAAACACATAATTTATGGCAATCGTGCAGAGCAGGATATAATACACCTAAGTTTACTAGCCGCAAGTGTTTCTCCATTGTCTCAATAACATTACTAGCATAAGAATGGACAGACACACCTAAGTTTATTTACTTAAACTTAAATGATGTCAAACCTCCTCCATATGAGAGTTTGATGTTTAGTTAAGTGTGCATCCCTCTTTAGCAGATAACCGATGTGAGCCCTGTACATTTCGTTCTGCAGCCCAGTAGGTATTTCCAATATGACCGATGGTTCCAAATCATTACCTCTGATCCAACTAAAGGAGATTTGAATGATTAAGTCTATCATTAGTTTGTTAGTAAAAGCAAAAACAGATCCCTATGAATCTGCATATGAGCAAACCAAAATGATTTTTATATCACACCATAACTGAAAAATAGATTAAGCTAAAGCCACCATTTACCTAGTTTGGGAAGGGCATCAGATTTATCCTCAAATTATCCACTATGAATTGCAAAAACAGTAATAGAACATTAGGAATGCATTACCCACAAATGAAGGAGAACTTACCTTGGCTCATTATCTCAATGCACAGGCGACTAACTTGAAAACTGAAATGGACTGATCTCACACTTACTTAGTTCCAATACATGTGTTTAAAACATGAATGAGGAAGAAAAAGTTCATAACCAATCCATGGTTTCTTCTCTGCTGAGTGGTGACATTACATATCAGTATCCAGGGATCAAATTATCAGCTTCATCACTCGTTAACAACCCCCAACCCAGCATCTAACAGACATACAGCAGCGGACAACCAGCACACAGTTACATCAGAGCCCATTCTTGGCTTATGTGAATCTGAAATCAGTGGGCACTTCCCCTTTGCAAGCAGCATCGTAGTCTTTTTCAAGGTGCGGTGCAGCTTCCTTATGAGGGTGTATGAACTTCTTCTTGAATGTCATGTCGGACTCCTTGAAAACAGTATAGTAGCTTGGGTCACACTTGAGCAATCCATTTTCCTTGAGAAACTTTACAGCGTAGTATCGGGGCCTGAGCCGGCCCTCTAGGCTGAGACCTAGCAGTACGGGTCGATGAGCAATGTATGCCGATTCCAAGCCCACCTCAGAGATGAGGAACTCAAATGTGCGCTGCAGTGATTTCTTGGACCTCCTCAGCACCGGTGGAAACTTAGAAACAGCCATGCCCACCTCAGCATCCGTCCACCTGAACGTGCTCTTCAAGTACGCCACCGTGATTGTGATCTCCTCCTCGCCGAGGAATGCAACAGACTGAAGTGCTTGCCTGAACATCCCAGAGCCACGAGGCACACCTATGTTTTCAGCGCACGCCACCATTGCCTGAACATGCTCCGGGTTGCTGGCGATCATCCTCGGTCTTGAGATGCACAACTTGGCAATATCGCAATCACCTAAGCCGCACTCTAGCAGGTACGCGACATTGGGCTTGATCACCCTCTCGACGCTGCATGAGAGGACATTTGCAAACTTCATCACCCGGAGGAAGGTGTCCAAGGAGCCGAAGATGCGCAGGTAGTACTGCAGCTTGGAGACCATTGCTTTCTGGCGGAATTTGTGGGCGGCGAGCGGGACGACGAGCGCGATGTCGGGACGCGATAAGCCGAGGCCAGAGAGCCCGACGACGACGGGCGTCAGGGTTTTCTCCACTTTGGCGCAGAGGAACTGCGGGTCCTTGGCGACGAGGGCGGCGACGTCGGCGCCGGAGAGGCCGAGGCCGGCGAGGAAGGCCAGGACGGCGTCGGGCTTGGCAGGGGACCTGAGGTGGGAGAGCTTGGGGGAGGCCTTAACGGCCTGTGCTCGCGTGAGGCCGCAGGTGGAGACGAGGTACTCCTCCACGGCGAACCCGGTGCTTGGGGAGATGGCGGGCGCGGCGGCCGAGAGGAGGCGGCGGAGACGGGATAAGGGAGAGGCGAAGGGAGACGAGGGGAGCTGGGCGAGGACGCCTCGACGGAGCCAGAGCATGGCGGCGCCGATGGCGAGGGGATAGAGTGGTGAGGGTTTGCGTTGTTGCGGTGTCTCTGGTCCAACCTTGAGGATGACCAACTGACCCCACGTGTAGGGATGGGCTGGGCTGGGCTGGGCTGGGCTGGGTTAGACCCATTTATTAGATCAGCTCAAGTGCCCTAAAAAAAACCACCCAAGGGCTAATTGTCAGTTTGCGCACAGGAGCCGTGCGACTGGGCCAGCCCATTGAGAGGCAACGGCGAACTGTGTTTCCGTAAAAATCGCGAAAACATAAGGTGACGATGTTAGGTATCGAACTTGTGACTTCCAAGTCCTCAGCGAGTGGTACTAGCCACTCGAGATAACAGTTACTAGCTATTAAAACTGCATCGCGACCTTATTTAAGCTTTAAGTTGCGGGATATGCCATGTTGCATTTTATTTTCTGTATGTGCATACATTTTTGAAAATTTAACACATTTCGGAAAACACGAGACGAAGTTTTGAATAAATGTGAACAAATTTTTAAATTCAAAAAAGTTTTTAGAAAACAATAATTTGTTTTCAGACTTCAAACAGATTATCAAAAAGTTGTGAACATTTTCTAAAAGCAAGAACTAGTATTTTTGAAGGTGATTTTTTTAGTTTTGAACAATTTTTGAAATTTTAATTTTTCACTAAAAATAAATAAATACTGGAATCCTGAATGTTTTTCCAAATAAAGAACCAAAATTGAGGTTCCACACATTTTTAGTCATTGGGGAACAAATTTGAAGATTTCAACATTTTTCAGAAAAGTGAAGAATTTTTTGAAATGCGAACATTTGCAAATCTGTGAACCAAATTGAGAAACTCAGATATTTTGTCGAAACATGTGCAATTTTGAGGAATCTCAAACATTTTTTGTGAACAAAAATTGGAACAAAATAGAAAATGAGAACATATATTGAAATTATGAACAGTTTTTTGAAAACAGGGTCAAAAATTACAATTCTCCGAATGTTGTAGAAACAATTTTTAAAATCACAAACATATTTAGAATTTTTAGACCAAATTTCGAAATCCAAAACAAAAATTTCAAATTTGAAATGGGAACACATTTTGAGTACGGGAACAAATTTTGAGTACACGGAACAAAAATTTGAAATGGGAACAAACTTTGAGTACGGGAACAAATTTTGAGTACGTGGAACAAAAAATTGAAACGGGAACAAATTTAAAATCAGAAACAAATTTGAAACGGGAACAAATTTTGAGTACGTGGAACAAAAAATTGAAAAGGAGAATATTTTTTCAAAATCACGAACATATTTTGCATATTTAGAACAAATTTAGAAATGGAGATTTTTTTTGGAAATCCCAAACAAATTTGAAACGGGAACAAATATTGAATACGTGAATTTTTTTTGAAAAAGAGAACAGTTTAAATATTTGTGAACAATTTTTGGAAACAGATTTTTTTTTGGAAATCCTGGTAATTATTTAAAAAGTACTAAAAAATGAAAAGAAACATTCCGAACAATTTTCGAAAACACAGAAATATCTTTTGAAATTCCAGAATTTTCTTTTAGAATGTGAACATTTTTGGAATTTATGAACAATTTTCGTAAACACGGACATTTTAAAAAAATTAATACTTTTTAAAAGCATGAACAATTTTTTGAGTTTCCAAACAATTTTTGAAATATGAACCTTTGTAAATAAAGAAATTAAACTTGAAAAATAAAAAAGAAACGAAAAAAAAGAAACAGGAAAGAAAAAAGAAAAGAACAAAAAAAAAGAAACCGGCTTAGGGAACCTTCTAGAAGGTTCCCAAAACCAGAAAAACCAGCTGGGAAACTTTAGAAGGTTCCCAAAACCGGAATTACGGGAACACGTTAAATGGGCCGGCCCAAGGTTAGCGCTTGATAGGTGGCTATGTGCGAAGCGTCGACTCTTTGACCCAGAATGCGGTAAATAGGATATTCTGGAAAAAATAGCATCGTAAAAAAAAGTGACTCATCTAAATGATCTTGTATTCTGAAAAAAAACTCTAAATGATCTTGTGAGCATAGTTTTAAAAATTCGATCGGAATAGCGGCCCAACCGGAAAAACCAGGAACCGGCGCCTTGCTTGTTTTTTTAAGGTGTGCCAGTCTTTTACTAAAAACCCGAAAAAATATTCAAAAAAAGTTGCATCAACAAAGAATCAAACACCTAGCCGTGAGGCAAGACATGCTAAAAGCACAATAACCAACTAGGCTGATAACACTTTGTGATTTATTAATGGTTTACATCCAATATTATGTGTATTCCTTTAATGTGAGGTCAACTTTTTTGATAAATCACCTTAAATATTCTGGGTTTTCCTCGCAAATGGACTGATGAAAACATGATCTTTTATGAAAACATATGTGAACTCTTCTTTCAATTCCTTATCTTAACAGTTTATCATCAAGGTGATCACCAAAACAACAACATCAAGTAGAGACAAGAGACATCTCATCCCTTTTGCAAAACTGAAAACAACGATAGCAACCATTGTTCTGTGTTCCATAAAAAACATAGCTTGCACAAAAAATATAAAATGTGAGTTCACTCATAATGAAAAATTCTGTAAAAAAAAGGTCACATATAAATCATGAGAGTCATCTTGAGTCTTCTCACCAAAACAATTTCGTGTGCCGTACGACTATTTCTAGTATGTTGCCATTCACGACAGTATACCTAGGCACCTATGATTTTTTTTCGTTTGGCTTCTCTGTTCTGAAACTCCGCATGCTTGTGCGTTATGTGAAGGTTAGTTCCATTTTGAAAAAAAATAATAGTCTGATCATGAACTACTGTGTGTGCAGTGGAATCGAATTAAGATTAGAAGGCTGAAATGTCATTTGTCGAACCCAACTTGCTTAAATTTTGAATCTGTCACAAATTTTTAGAAACAGGAATATTTTTTGAAATCCCGAACAAAATTTTAACAAGAGGAACATTTTTTAAAATTCTAAATATATTTCAAAGCAACAAACATATTTTGTATTTGTCAACAAATTTTAAAAACAGGAACTTTTTTGAAATTCCAAACATTCTGAACTATTTTTGAAGCCGCGGACTAATTCTGAACTAAAATTCCCAAAAGGTTTTGAAACTTTGAACATTTTTTATGAAAAGGGAACATTTTTTAAATTCTAAGAAAATTTTGAAAAGTTGTATGGACGGCAATTCGGCCTATAATAGTATGACGCTGAGGCCGACTAAAATGCAACATGTTCAATAGTTAGATGTAGTAGAGATGCGCATGTTGAGATGGATGTGGGGCCATAAAAGGAAGGGTTGAATTTGCAATGATGATACACGGGACAGAGTTGGGGTGGCACTGATCAAAGAGAAGCTTGTCCTACATCATCTGAAATGGTTTAGGCATAGTCAGTGCAAGCCTCTACATGCTCCAATGCATAGCGGACGGCTAAAGAGCATTGATAATGTCAAAAGAGGTCGGGATAGACCAAACTTGACATAGAAGTCCATAAAAGAGAGATTTGAAGGATTGGAATATCACTACAAAACTAGTCATGGACAGAGGGTGCGTGGAAACTAGCTATCCATGTGTCAGAAACATGAGTTGGTTGCAAAATCTTATGGTTTTCAGCTCTAACCTGCCGTAACTTGTTTGAGACTAAAGGCTTTGTTGTTGTGTTGAGAAAATTCTAAAAAATGGGAACATTTTTTGAAATTCCAAACAATATGTAAATTTTCCAAACAATTTTTTATAAGAAAAATAAACTTGAAAAGGTGAAAAAAGTAAACAAAAATAGAAATGAAAATGAAAAGAAAGAGAAAATGGTATGAACAAAGAAAAAAGCAAATTGAAATAGAAAATGAAAAAGGAAAGAAATAGAAAACAAAGGAAAAAAGTGGTTAAATAATGTGTTAGAAGGTTTCCAAAACCGGTAAAAACCTGACAAAAACCTTCTAGAAGGATCCCAAAACCGGACCGAAAAAGGTATGAGCTCAAATGGGTTGGCCCAATCGCTCCATAGATAGACCGTCCCCTATGCGAATGTATGACATTTTGACACAAAATGTGCATAAATAGGGAATCCCATCTTTCTCTCTGTAAATCACCTCCACAACGATTTGGTTCTAGGTCTTCCTGTCAATTCCCCAATAATGCTCAGCCCCTTTTCAATTGACCCATCAAGGTTTCATCTGCCAAATGCCACCGGACGCTAGCATGCCATGCCGGCAGCTCACTGCTGCATCCAATTTGCACACTACCGTTGATGCTGCCCTTCTCGCATTGCGCACAATTGCAAAGGCCAAAGGCGACAACCGCCAATGAGCTAAACGTTGCTGTTGCCGAGGGAATGAAGAAACAAGAACTGTATGTTTGAATTCAAGTCAAGAAAATTGATTTAGAGAGAAGAGACTAAAGGAGCAAGCATGGTATGTTCCAATTCAACTAAAGAAAATTGATTTGAAGAAGGGACTGAAGGTGCAAGCACAATATGTTCCGAATTTAACTAACAAAAATTGATCTAGAGAAGAGACTGTGCAAGCAGGGCATGTTTCAAATTCAACTAAAGAAAATTGAGGGAGTGTGAAAGCACGACATGTTTTGAATTCAGCTAAAGAAAATTGATTCGGAGAAGTTCTCATGGCGTGTAAAATTCTGTTGCCATGTTAACTTGAGTTAGATCATCGTATGCTAACTCAGTTAGCCATTTAATCGATTGCCATGGGGGTTAAACCGTTGTGTATATCAATTAAAGAAGCTGATTCACATGTTAACTCGGTCAGCCATGTCCTATTTCAGAGACGAAGTAACAAATATTTTTTATTTTTGTTTCAAGTAACGATTCAAAGAAGTAATAATGATTTCATTATGTCCACAAGTTGTGAGTCGCACATGTTTTAGTTTATATCATTAGTCGCATCTGTTTCATGCATATTTTATTTTGCTTTTAGTTTTAAGTTTGAAATTGCCCCCGGTTACTTGTCAAGCTCCGCCAGTGTGCATGTGAGCCAGCGAAACAATGAGTG